GAAACCACACACGCACAGCTCCGCGTGCCATCCAGAGACACGTGCGCTTCACCTGTGCCCTGCACACCCGTTTCCGGGCGTTTCTGTACCTAAAGCCACGGGCAAGCTCTTGACGTGCCTTGCACACCTGTGTGCCCGCACTACACCTTGCACTGAAGTCCTCTCTACACGGGGGAAACCGCAGTCCCTGGCACTGGCTGGAAAGCAGGGGCGGGCAAGGCTCTTGGGGATGGCTGGAGTATCGAAGGCAGACCTCAGACTGGAATGGCACCAGGATTTTAGAGGTGGGACTTTATGGCACTTTGGCGGGTAGCAAGTGGGTGTAAAATAGCCTGTGGTTTCTCAGTCTCTGAATACAGTATATATCATCCAGCAGTAGGTGACAGCATAGGATATTAGCTGGCCAGGAGGGGTGAAGTGACAGCAGAGGGAAAAGTTGGTTGCCATTAATGGCAGCGGCACCGAGAGGCACTTCTGACAAGTCAAAACCAGCCCTTGGCTTGCTGACAACAGGTCTATGAATAACCCACAGCGCTTGTTGTCCTTAAAACTGGAAGCCATAAAAAGAACACAAATAGCCCTCAAATGACGACTGCTTGTTCTGGGATCATGCTCACCATGTTTCAGCTGCAGTCTCACAAGGACTTAACTGAAGACTTTGGTTTAACATCTCTCCAGGCTGGGGGAGAAGAGTGTTTATCATGGTTATGCTCAAGGAAGCTGCGGCAAGAGGTTAGGGCTCCTCTTGGCTCCCAAAGCCACTGTCACAGCACACCTGTGAGTCAAGCTTTCACCCCAGGCTTCCCAAACTTCATATATGTGCTGGAGCAGGGGAATGACAGGCAGGTCCAGGGCAAGGCTGAGCATGCAAGGGGCTGTTAGCAGCCCTCCTGATCTTTGGGAGGTGTGAATAAATGCATCTGAGGCTCTTGAGTGGGAAAATAAAGAAGAGGAACCTCAAATGTGTTGTTCATAACATAATTACCCGTGTACCGCTCTGCTCCTCTCCTGTGAAACAAATTCAGAGCAAAGTTACCTTATGGTATTTTGGGGTACTGACTGTTGGTGCTCAAATATTTAAGGTTGGAAGGGCCAGGTGAAGTAAGTGCTATTTGTTCCCCAAAAGCTCGAGCATTTTGAGAAGGATTCTTGCTGGAGGTAACAGGAAGGTATTAGACCTGTCTTTTCCTTTCTGTCTCCCATTGAGAAGGCTAAGTGAGGCAGAAATAATGGTGTAAAACCAGAGGAAAACAGGGGTGAATGTTACAAAGGCTTTGACACTGTGGGAATCTTTGCTGACGCTTGATACCCAGCAATGCCAGCCTGTGAGAAGCTGTGGAAGCTGGTCCCACTTCGGATCCTAGGGAAACCACAGGTGACACTGTGAAAAAAATGCCTGACAGCATCAGGCTGTGGAAGAACTAGGAAGGGCAGGCTGAGCCCTGGGAGTCTTGCCATGCGGATGGGCAGCATGGTAATGCAGATGTTATCCTTTTCACCCTTGGTCACACTGCTGAGCCTGCTTCAAGCTCCCCTTTGTGCTCCCCACGCTTTCTGCAGGGCTGTATCTGATCTGAGGTCAGCCTTCCTTTGCAGTTAGCTGTGCTGGGACAAGGAGTCAGCAGATAAAATCCAAAAGATAAATGATGCCTGTTAATCCTTTCTCTGTGTCCCAGCGACCTGGCTTTGTTGTTCAATGGCAGCTCTCCCTCTGTGCAATGTTCCCTGGAGACCAAATGCATAAACCCTCAGCTCCTCACGTATCGGGTTCCAGCAGACGGGGATCCAAAAAGGCTTTTAGAAGAGGGATTTCTGCCCGCTCACTGGTTATTGATCAGTGCAAAGAACAAGATGCTCTTCATGCAGTGGGAACCCACATATCTTTGTATCTTTAGCAATAAAACCAAATACTGGCTTCTGAAGCACAAAGTACAGCCAGGGTGCTGTTTCTCACCGGAGCCTTGCTTCTGACTTCTGCTTCTAACAAGGGGATTAGCAGAGAGGATCTGGTGATGAGATGAGGGAGGTGGTTAATGTTTTCTTTCTTGATTCTGCCAGAACCTCTGCATGAGTGGGAAGCACAGCTCCCCCTCCATGCCTCCACGCTTCCCTTCCCAAGAGCCTCGTGCCTGGCCGTAGCGATGTGCACCCTTGGTGCACCTCAGTGTCCTGTCTGCAGGGCATGAACCTGGGGGGAGCAGGCTGGGGCTAGATGTCAGTCTTCTTCCACGGGTCTGATCCAGGGCTTTTCTCCTGGGTACGAAGCCAATGGTGGGAAGCAACTCCCAGGAGAGGCTGATATTTAGCAAGGAGGCGATGCGGTTTGAAGCACGTCGCACTCTTCACAGGGGACCATCTTGCAGCAGAAGAGCTTTGCTTTGGACTGGTGGGACAGGGTGTCCAAGCCCAGACAGGATGGATCTATGCATGGACCAGTACAACCTGAAGGTAAAAGAGTCATCTGTCTGGATCAGCGAGCCTTGCCTGTGTAGCCAACAACGGGGAATTGCACCGCACATTAGGGACGTATTCTATATTATCCTGGCAAGCTCCCCTACACATGAACCTGGGGTACACGAGGGTATGGCAGTCGTGTGCACAGCTGTGCAGAGTGGCAGAAGCTTTCAACGTGGCTCTGGGGCCTCCACAGACCTCCTGGGGCTACTGTGGCCAAAGGAGAGTGTCTCTTGCTTCCCCCGGACCGACTGGCAGGGCTGTGCCACAGCCACGCTGCTGCTGGGCCATCCAGCTTGCTCAGCTCTGGGCAGGTTTATTAGTTAGGGCATAGACTCAGAAAGCAGGATCCCAGAATCAGCTTGGTTCAGGAGCTGTTGTTTAGTGATATGATTCATTATTTATTATAGATCTATATTCATTCTATTTATGTATTTCTTTTTAAATACATTTCCCTTTCTGTTTTATTTATGCATTTCACATTATGGTATCTGCTTAGTACAGACAATGGAGTTAGTCATACCAATACCAGATATTGAATCTGTTGTGCTGCCAGAGCTCAGAGGGAAAAGCTAAGGCTGAACATCCACCCCAAAGTCAGTACTTCCTAGTCCTGAAGGCCTAAATCTAAAACGGGACCCACCATATCTGTAGGAATCTGTACCTAACATTTATTTGTCACAGTCACTCAAGCTTAAACCTATAGATGCTCAGCTATTCATGGTGATCAAGTTTCTGGTTGTCTGCCCAGCAGCGTTGGCTGAAGTCTCAGAGAGGACTGGTCTGAACCTGTAACTGTCCTCAGACCAGGTCTCCTAGAATAGACCTCAGATAAATGTCAACAAACAATGGCATTGGTGTATTATTTTATCTGCCAGCCCAGCGGATAGAGCATTAACCTTTGCAGGGGCAGAAATGAAGACTTGTGTTCAGTCCTTCCTCTGCCTGGTTTGGCTCTGGGAGCAAACCCAATTCCCCCGTGTCCTGGGGAGCTGAGCAGCCCAAGGAGACTGCGAAACCCCTGGCTGCAAGGTGGAAAGACATCCAGGAGCTCAGCATTGCCATGCAATGGGGCTACTTGTGAGTGTAGCTCTGCTTGCTGCTGACTGCACCACCGCTTAGCACAGCAGCGTGTGGGGAGCTGGTGGTGGGACAGCACAGGGTGCAACTATTTAAGCCCTTCCATGGCTGCTCAAAGCATCATGGAGGAGGGAGACAATTTCAAGAACAGCTCCCAGATCCTGGAGCTCACAAGCATCTCAGGAGGTGCTTATGAGACCAGGTCTGGTCTCAGACAACAAAGATCTGTGGTACACACCTCATGGGCAATGTGGTATGGAGGAAGGCTACAGGGCTTTGAGGAGTGCTCTGAGATTTGTAATCCTGTTGGTTTTTAAAAGCAATTCTGGTGCGTTTAATACTACGGGCACTCAGAGGGCTCAAGAGGCCTAAGGCAAGAGAGAGGATTATTCTTTATATACGGGCTCAGCAGAGCGGTGTCCTGATGTGACAGGATCAGACACCTGGTTCACTTCTGCACAGAGGACTTGGAGGCAATCTTCCCCACTCGCCCCTGCCTGCTCAGCCATGACTCCAGGCTGTGAAATACATGAATTATATGCAGAAAAAGTTTTGAGACTAAACAAAGAATGCATTTTGGTTCCTTTTCCTTGTTTCCAGGTACAGCTTGTATCCTGTTGGGTACAACCAAGTCAAGTAGGTCAATAGTCTCAAGCACTTTTCTGTATGCAAGACTAGAAATACGTTTTCTTTCCTGAGCAGAAACAGTCTTGTGCAAAGCCAAAGGCTGAGATTTAAAGATGGTGATCAACGTGTCTTGAGCTATCATGATAAAAACCCAAGTAACAGGGGTTGGATAAAGTGCCAGCCTGGAGTGTGAGTGTTTGGGGGCAGTGGGGTGAAAGGAAAGGGTTTGCTCTTGTGCAGCACAGCAGTTTGCCACGAGCCAGAAGTCTTGCGCTCAGAGATTGCACCCCAGTTGCAAGGCCCACAGCTTCCACAGTTTTTGCTGCACAGCACCATGCCTTCTTTCCCACTCTGCTGTGTGCCGTGACTGTGTGCTCTGTGCCCGTGGGGTGGCCACGCTTGCTGCCCCTCTGCCCTTGGGAGCCACTGTTCCAAAGCCGCCTGGCAAATTGCACCCAGCAATTTTGCTCTTTCAGCTTTCCCCTCTCTGTGCATGTCGCGGGGACGTCTTTGCCCCTATGCTGACTTACTGCCAGCAAACGGACATATAGACCTGGCTATATATAAATGAGCAGGGTCAGAGCTCTATTTTTAGCCTGTCTCAAAATATTTCCCTTACTGTGCATTTCTTGCACTGATTCCTAGTCCTGTCTCCTTGCTGCAAAAAAGCCCCGTGAGGTGAGTGAGGTCTGTCAGCCCCGGGATCGGACTGGGGGCACTGGGGAGAAAACAGTGCTATGGGACATCCCCAGCACCAGGCCCTGCCACGACCACAAGCTGAGGTGGGCAATTCTGCTAAAATGTCTCTGTGTCATTTCAGGTGAGGAAGTCTCCAGGACAATTTTTAGCATTTGGAGTCACCCACCCTGTAAAATGAAAGCTCAGCAGCTCACCTGTCCCGGAGCCAGCTGCGGGCACAGGCAGGGAGTGTGGGGATGAGTTGGGCACCGTGGGACACTTCTCCCACCACCATAAGCCTCTCCTGCGGTACCGGGTAGGTAGAGTTTTGTCCTCTCTAGGGCTGAGCTTTGCTTTCTCTTATAGCCAGTAGGGTTGGGGACGACAGGGGAAGAGTGGCTCACTTATCTTGTGCCAGTACGTGATGTGTTTGACGCTGCACGATGGCTCCTGTCACGCTTCGAACATTTTCTGAGAGCCATCACAGCAGTAATGAACGAAGTGCTGCTGCTGGGCTGTGGACCAGGGGGATTTCGGGGAATTTGCTTTCTGCATTGGCCTTCCATCTTCCCGAAGCCAGGCTGCCTCTGGAGGTGTTTGCGGTGCAGCTGGTGTGTCGCTGCTGCTGTTTAACCTGACTGCATGGGGACAGGAGGTGGCTGGCCTAAAGATGGAATATTTTTGTAGCGGGAAAGAGATAAGCGTGAAAGGGAGGACTTGGCTGCGGGTGGCATGGGAAGGGGATGGAGGGGGCAGCGGGAGTGAACCCCGGGGGCTGTGACAACTCCGCTTGCAGCAAGAACTCTTTCCCCTGGCTCTGCCCCGGCTCCCGGGGTGCTGGTTCGAGGGGCACACGTGCCAGAAAGGCACCGCCGTGCCACGCCACCATCCCTCCCGCTTCTGTCGCTTGCTCTGGCCCTCGGTGCCAAAGGCATCCTTAGGGTTTGCTTTGAAGAGCAAACGGAGACGGGTGCCCGTGCTCTGTTGCTTTGCCGTGCCGCTGCAAGTCACGGGGAAGCTGCCGAGCTGGGGAAGCTGTCTGCGTGTCCGTGCTGTGGCCCAGGATGAGCCGATCATCTCACTTTCATCACGGGCTGAGCTTCATTTCATTTGCCTTGCAACAGCCCTGCGCGTGGCCGGTTACTCATGGTAACTCACGTCACCGTAACTCAGCTCTGAGTCCCAGCTGTTGCAATTTGACTGTAAATCTTCTGCTATTTGAGGATTTTTTTTCTTACTATCTTGGCTCCTGGAAGCCTCTGGTCTGGCAAAAATCTTTGCTTTTGCTTTTATAACACTTTCCACACTTCCTGTCTATGGAAAGAAAAAGCTTGAAAATGGGATTCCAGTATTCTCAGTAGTCTGGGAAAAGAGAGGGGAAATGCATCAACTATTAAAAAATAATAATGATTTTCAAGCAGCTTCATATCAGAAGCAGTCAATTTGGGAACAGAGAGGTCTCGCTGAAAAAGAAACACCATAGTTTTTTTTCTCACGGTGGCGGCTGATGGTTTGCAGGCTGGAAGGGTAACTAAGCTGTGTCAGCTGAAGCTTGGGAGAGTTTTTTGTTGTAGGGTTCTTCTTTAATGCATTATAATTTTGTCCTTGAGAAGCTTTTCCTAGAAGCTCCATCATAAAAATCAGGTGCCACAATATTATTTTAGTTCTTATTTATGTGACTTCAGCTATTTTTAGTGCCAGTTGCAACACAAAGTTTATTACTGGTGATGTGAAACCTCAGTGTCCCTTTTTTTTCTTCTAAACAGCAAGGAGAAGCAGCAGCAAGTGTTCTCCCCTGGGAGCAGAAAATGCACGTGAAAATCACACGGCCCCAGTAGGTCCAATGGCCATGGCAGCATCCCTTAAGAAAGTAAGTTTGTGGACTGCTCTGAGAGCTGCCCAGCTCCACAACCACACACCAATTTTAGGAGTCAACCAAAATGTCGATGAGGACAGTGTACCACATAGCAGATGTTAAAAATGCTGCAGCTTGTTCACAGCCAGAAAAATTGTGGATGTGTTAGTGTGATACAAGAGCGTGACAGCAATAATAGTGCCAAGGGAGAAATCTCTAGGTAAACACTGAAGCAGACTCCAGGGGTTTGAGAGATCTGAGGCAGGAAATATCTTGTCAGATGAAAAAACTTTTGATTACGGCCCCTTTGGAAGACATGTTGGGGCATATCATCAGTATTTATGACAATGGATGTCAAGCAGGTTTTGAAAAAACCCTTCCTGTGAACCATGCCTCTTTGTAAGTTTATTCCAATTAACTGAAAGGCAATGAAAAACTAACAGCATTTTGTATTTCTTATTCTTTATGCAGGGGTTTATGTGGATTTCTAAGCAGGGAAACTGGATGTTACTTCTGCTTTTCATCTGGGCCATGATCCCCTGGACTTTGAGTACATGCATGTCAATATACCATTCTACTGCTCACCTGACTGTAAGGAAAAAAAAAAACAAAACAAAACAAAAAAAAACAAGGAAGGAGATTTCAATTCAGAAAGCCTGTTTGGAAGGATCCTAGCAGATCAGTCCATGGAGCAGAGGAGTGTGAACTCCAGTGCAGAGATGCACAAGCTGCAAATCTATATCAAGAGGAGGACTGTGCACAGGATCATTTCAGCAAATATCTGGAGGAGGAAGGTAAGGATTATGATGACACATGAAATGAACTTCTAATGTATTACAAGTTCCTTATAGTAATCCATGATGCTTTCAAGGGAAAATATTGTACATTCATTTATGATCCATCACATGCACAGATATAGTTTGTTAATTCCTTATTTGCAATATGAATCTCTTTTTAACCAATGAATGTGTAAAGCAGAAGTCTTACGATGCAAGAATATATTTACACAGAGGCAGGAGGCTGTTGCTATTAAGTGGTAGTAAACTTGCCACCTTAGGTGCAGTATTAGTATCAGCAATAACTGAAATTTCTCTTCATGGCTTACTGATTACCAGAATATCAACTAGGAGAAGAACAGACAGGTGATGTAGGCTTGTTACAGTCCTGTGTAGCCTAGAAAGAAACTGGTGACTGTAGAAAACTGGGAAAGACAGCAAAGCTCTTGAGTCATGGTGCACCTTAAAGAGGGCTGGTGACTGAGCAGGGGACTCTAACATCTGGAAGGGCACATGAGAATTTCCCACCTGTGCCCTGCATCCTTCCCACCACAGATCAGGGAGCACCTTCTGCCCACAGTGCTTTTATTTCAGACATATAGCACAGAAGGCCAAAAGCCACAACAACTTTGAGGTGACGCAGGAACAGGACACGAGAGATTGAGAGCATCCCCGGTGTCATGGGTCCCTGCTGCAGCAGGGAATTTCTTAATACAAAACTCTGAGATGATTCTAAGAAACAGCCTGTAACCCACCTCACTGTGAAGCCCAAATATTGCTCTGTGCAATGATGCTGTGACCTCTGACAGGGTACACTGACCTAACCGCCGGGAGGTTGGGAAGAGTTAACGAGCAGTTTGTTGAGATTGTAAGGAGCGCCTGGTCTCTTGTGGTGGTGACAAGGTGGGGACACAGCCCAACCATCTCAGCAGATGAGAGAGACTCGCTCTGCTCCCAGTGCAACGCGTGGGGGAACTCCCACCGCTGCTGTCAGCTGCTGTCCTACAGTGCTGGGGTGAGCTTTCGGAAATCCTGCCCTACCACCGCCACCCAGCTCGTCTTCTAAGACCCCAGGGTCCCTTTTTTTTTCCACTCTGCACCGGGCTCAGGGGAGCCTCAGCTCACCTGTCCTTCCCAGTTCAACCATTTAATTGCATATGGCTATTTAGTGATTAAAAATGGCAGCGGGAAATTGTCACTTTCCGTGTTAACCCTTAAAACTCTTGCATCTCCCTCACTTCCAGTTAGCTGTGAAGGGAAGATGTGGATTTCTAAAAGACCAAAAACAGGATCACGTGGGCAAAAAAGATGGCCAGTGCTTAGCTCCCCACATATCTCCGTTTTGTGGGCAGCGGAGAATCCATGCTCTGTGATGGACATGGTGGCCGAAGCCCAGGTTCCCTGTGTCCGTATCATGGGAAGGGATGAAGAACCAGAGGAACCTTGAGTTTGAAGTTTGGCCAGGGCCTGTTTGCTTCTCCCATCAATAGTGCCCCAAATGCTAATTAAAATCTCTTTATTCTGCTTTGGTCAGGGCAAATAACAAAGTGGGGTGAAACTCAAAAATAAGCATCCCTCAGAATAGCCCTCTCCACATCTTCCTGCTAATGGCATCTCTGAAGACGACTGCTTGTTCCCCTTCAGACAAGCTTTCAGAGGCTATTTTAATCCACTTTTAGTTGCAAATAGCATTTATCAGAATAAGAGTGGGCTGGTTGCCAGCTCCTTCAGATCTTTGACAGCCCAGAGGGCAAAGTCTCTGAAAAATAACTGAGTGTGCTTCTACTGCATGTTCCCCTGCCCAGGGGACTTGGGGGCCATAATAAGGAAACAGTCATCTGATGGAGCAGAGCCCAGGAACCAGTGCTTTGCTAAAACCGGCGATTCCCCTGTCATCAACACTTGTTCCCAGGAATCAGAGCTCTTGTTCCTGTCATCAGCGTGGATGTTTTCAGATTCAGTTTAGCAATCCTTAGGAGGCAAGAAGCAATCTTGGCAAAAAGGTTAGAGAGCCACTTATTTCCGAGTCACTGCTTAGAACGTGACCCCAACTAATTGTGTCCAAAAATCCTCACTGACAGTCATCTCATGGTCACTCTGTGGTCTCCGGTGAGTTCATGATCTTCGCTGAGCTCATAAACTGTTCAAAGTTATATTTTTGAAAATGCCACATTGAACACTAATTGGCATTCCCAGGGCAGCAAACATGGAGTAGGCCATGAAGATTAAATTTCCCCTTACCCTGAAGGCATTTTGATAATGGGCAGTATCTGGGCAGCTTGCCCTACTGCTCTATCTCAGTAATTTGCCTCAGGCTCCAGGACTGTCATCTTTCACCAGTTCTAAATCAATTTTAAAATATCTTAGCAATAATATGTGTGGTGGCCTACTGCCTGATTTCCCCAGGCAAGGGGTGACACGCAAGGGAGAGGGAGCCGACAGAAGGATGGAGGGTCACAGGAGAGATCTTGGGGCCTGATAGATGTTGACATAGGAGAAATTTAGGAAAATACTGCTATGTTTGTGATGTCTTGCTGTCCTCCAGCTTTTGTCAGAGTGACTTTGAAGACCACTTGATCCCGTCTTGATCTAGTGATATCCCTTGTATTCAAAACCAGGCATCTGAAATGCAGATCAGAAGGGGTTCATGAGCAAGTACCTGTGCAGAAGGCCTGCTGAGTGTGTGGTGCCTGAGGCAGTTTTGGATCCATGATCCTGGCCAAACATCAGCATAATGATAAATTCTTTGCCATGCTATGGGAAATTATTGTGCTTCACCGAGAATACAATGGCACCCATTCATTTTTCTTTCTCTCCTGCCACCTGAGACTCAATTATGTATTTTCCGATGTGCAAAATATACAGGAAATGACCCAGTGCTGCTAAGTTCTGGTTTCTTTATTATTTAAAAGGGTAAAACCTGGTAGTAACAGAACTGTTTGGATATATTAACATATAGATGGAAACAAGCCTTTAAGGAATATTAGCCAATCTTATTCTCCCTATTTGATTTCACTGGCTTTGTGAGAGGAAAGGAGACTTGGCTGGAGGTGAGCTGGTGGCATACATTTATAATTATCACAAGCTTGAAGGCTGACTAGACCATCCTTGTGGCTTTTGTTCACCTCCATCAGTGCACTGTCAGGGTCTTGTGGCCTGTGCATTTGTTGCCTGAAAAAAGCCAATAAACATGACATATTGGTTGTGTGACATCCTCTCAACACCAGCAGGGCTCTTACGCTTTTCCAATGAAATACAGGTCCTTTAACTTGTTTGCATAGGGGTCCCAGCAAAAACCAAATGGTAGCCCTTACTGACTCCTGTCAGTCCTGTTTCAACCTTCTTCCAGAGATGCGTTTGGCTGTTGAGCCTTTAAACTTTGGTGCAGGAAGAGTATAGGGTGATTCGCTCTGCTGCAAAGAGCTGGGATGCTTCTGCTCGCTGCCTCCAGACTAATTCATTTATCATGAAGGTGGAAGAGTTTTGGTCTGCTGAATGTCACCATGCTTGTTTCCCCTGTCTGGGCTTCCCCGCCTTGTTTCTAGGTGGATCTTTAATGGAAAAATCGGATCTGCCTCCTGTAAACGCGCGCGGCTCTGGGATGGGGAACCCCAGCAGCGTTTTCCCCTGCACACCCCCGGGCACTGTGCCGCGGCAGCGCGCCCCGGGCACGGCAGAGCCCAGCTGCCGGGAGCAAGAGGGGTAGCGGGGCCAGTACCTGCAGTCCCACGGAGGGGACAGCCACTCCTGGCTCGCTGCCCCGCTCTCTTGGCTGCTTCCCACCTTGGTGCCTCGCCTGTTGTGCCAGCTGGAGCCCCAGGGAAGCCGCTGCTGATTTTATACTAGGTCAATACATACCCTTGGTGTGAGTGGAGATGAAAGCGTCTCCATTTCAGGTGGGGCTGGCACCAAGAGTGCCAGAGATCAGTCCAAATGGTGACGGGGAAAGCTGGAAAGGCCGTTTGATGATCCTAGAGATAGGTTTGAGTCACGGAGATGCCTTTCCAGCCATGCACTCCTGCACCCACAGCCTGAAGTGCCAACTGCCTTGTCACAGCTATTCCTCCTCACTGCAGAGGTGGATTTACTCTGATGCAGGTTTGCCATGGAAGTTAGTTTTGATATGTATGTTATGGAGGAAATCTTGGGCACCCTCATGACTACTAAAAGTGCTGCGGTGCTTTTGACTGGAGAATAAATCCATCTTTTTCATCTTGGCTCAGCTGTATTCTCTCATCTGTGTTTTCAGAGGTAGGTGCTGCTCCTCACCTCATGATGGGAGCTTTTAAGACACTGAATTTAGGTAGTGTATTTAACATTTGGAGTTAAAGGAGGCTTGCATCTCTGCACATCTAAAAGTGGTAGTTGATGAATTGTGGTAGTTGATGAAGTACTTGTGGGGAAACTCTTTACAGGCCAAATAAGAAGGGGATGAACTTTGTTAGAGTTCACCCTTGACTACATCATCTTCTGCAGAAGGTTACTGCCTCTGTTGTGTTGAGGAAATGCTGAGAGCAGACTGTGAGAAGGAAGGAGGAAGCAAGCAGGGCCTTAAGGAATAAAGGGAGAGAAAACCAGAAATAAGGCTTGAAGGCAGGAGACTGGTGGAGAATGCCAACTCCTTACACCCACAGGGTTGCAGAAACAAAGGGGAGGTCTTACTTGAGCAACCAGAGGATTGATTTCTGTGTATCTGGAGGCTGTATTTGTTGATTTTTTGTTGTTGT